AGTCGTAGTAGTAGTAGTAGTAGTAGTAGTAGTAGTAGTAGTAGTAGTAGTAGTAGTAGTAGTAGTAGTAGTAGTAGTAGTAGTAGTAGTAGTAGGTAGTAGTAGTATGTAGTAGTAGTAGTAGTAGTAGTAGTAGTAGTAGTAGTAGTAGTAGTAGTAGTAGTAGTAGTAGTAGTAGTAGTAGTAGTAGTAGTAGTAGTAGTAGTAGTAGTAGTTAGTAGTAGTAGTAGTAGTAGTAGTAGTAGTAGTAGTAGTAGTAGTAGTAGTAGTAGTAGTAGTAGTAGTAGTAGTAGTAGTAGCCGTAGTAGTAGTAGTAGTAGTAGTAGTAGTAGTAGTAGTAGTAGTAGTAGTAGTAGTAGTAGTAGTAGTAGTAGTAGTAGTAGTAGTATTAGTTAGTAGTAGTAGTAGTAGTAGTAGTAGTAGTAGTAGTAGTAGTAGTAGTAGTAGTAGTAGTAGTAGTAGTAGTAGTAGTAGTAGTAGTAGTAGTAGTAGTAGTAGTAGTAGTAGTAGTAGTAGTAGTAGCGCCAGAACCGCCGACGCCACGCCGTAAGTGAAGCAGCAGCAGAAGCAGGCAGCAAGTCGCCGAGACAGCAGCAAAAGCAAGCAGGCACGGAGATGAGGGCGGGGCACTGGGGTGTTCTTTACACATACACCTATATCTACACCTACATCTACATCGACACCTACATCTACATCTAGACCTACATCTACATCTACACCTACAGCTAGACCTGCACATATATATATATATATATATATACACTAGAACCACGGGCGCGCTTCGCGCGCGCTTAGGTTCTAGCTAGGCTTCACGGTCGAACTTTGAAGACCTCTATTTTGTGACCAATCCCTGTGGGACCCTTTTGAGAGACCTCTTGGATGCCGTCCTTTCCGATTTGAGTCATCTTGGGGCCTCGTTTGGGCCTCTTGGGGGTCTCTTGGGGGCCCCTTGGGGCCTCTTGCGGGACTTTTGGGGCCTCCTGGGACGGAGTTCCCCTCGTGGACCCCTCCTGGAGCCGTCTTCGTCAGCCCTTGGGCCGTCTTGGCGCCCTCTTGGGCTATCTTGGGGGCCAGCGTCTTCGGTTCGCTTGGGGAAGGCTTGGGGGTCTCTTGGACCGCCTTCAAAGCCGTGAAGGCCCCAAAATCGTAGACACTTACGTACAATGTACGGTTCGCCTACAGTAATGACACGAATTTGGTCTCTTGGGATCCCCTTGGGAGTGCTCTGGGAGGCCTCTTGGGACGTCTCGGAGCCTTCTTGGACCTTCTTGGGGCCATCTTGGGCAGTCTTGGGCGACTCGGGGCCTTCCTGGGCTCTCTTGGGGCCCGTTTTGGGGCTAACTTGGGCCGTCTTGGGCAGCCCTCGGGCCGTCTTGGCCCCCTCTTGGGCTGGCTTGAGGGTCTCTCTTTATATATATATATATATATATATATATATATATATATATATATATATAAATAACCGCATGCCGATGATAATAAAGGGACCCCCCCCCTTCAGTGTTTAGAGTTGATTATCGTCGCCCTATACAAAATTCAAATTGGGCGGCGAGCACTGAGGCCGAACTTCATTATCACCTCGAAACGCTATGTTGAGATAGCAACATCAAGCGATGTTGATATAGCAACATCAAGCGAAGCGATCACACTTTTTTCAGGATGTGTCAAGCGAAACCAATAATTTATAGTTCTTCTTCTTCTTTTATATTTCTATAGTATCCTCTTTATCTTTTATCTTTTATATTTCTATATCTCTCCTCTTCTTCTTTTATATTTCTATCTCTCCCCACGCTCGCATGAACTTGAGTATCCCTGGGGTTGATTATCCAGGGAAAGTGAGGCACATGAGCTACCCTACACGAGCACTTAAAAACACCAATTCCCACAAAGCGTTTGTAAATACAATCTAATACATTCGAAACTTGTTTTTTTTTATAGTTTTGTTCTCTTCTTCTCTTCTTCTTCTTCTCTTCTTCTTCCTTCTTCTTCTTCTTTCCTACTCATCTTATTATTATTCTACTCTCCTGTTCTTCTTTTATATTTCTATCTCTCCCCACACTCGCCTGAACTTGATTACCCCTGGGGTTGATTATCCAGGGAAAGTGAGGCACATGAGCTACCCTACACGAGCACTTAAAACCATCAATTTTCAGAAAGCGCTTGTAAATAAAATCTAATACATTCGAAACTTGTTTTTTTTTAGTTTTGTTATCTTCGTCTCTTCTTATTCTCTTCTTATTCCTGCTTATTCTTCTCTTTTTCTCCTCGTATTATTATTATACTCTCCTCTTCTTCTTTTATATTTCTATCTCTCCCCACGCTCGCCTGAACTTGATTATCCCTGGGTTTGATTATCCAGGGAAAATCTGATATATGTTGTTTAAAAAGTATTTCCTCTATGTCTTCTTCCTTTCTCTCTGTTTCTCTATCTTTCTCCTCTTGATCATATCTTGATCATCTCGTTCTCTCTGTTTCTCGCTCGGCTTGGTCTCCGCTTGATCATCTCTTACTTCGAGATTATGCTGAGGTCTGCTGAGCTACTTTTATCATCTCTCCCTGAACCCCGAACTTTATTATCCCCTAGTGTTTATTCTCACGGGCATGAGGTTAAATATAAATCCACAAGCTGCCACGTACCCCTGTGGGGGTGGCGAATGCCCCACAAGGCCAGGAGAAAACCTCCTGGGGCAAAACAATGAGACACACGACTGTGACGGCACAGACACGGGCCTCCAGGGAGCATTTGCTCATCCAGCCAGATCATCAATCAAAAAGAATGTGGACAGACAAACTGGCCCGTTCAATCCGACACACTCTCAGGCCCAAGCTTTGGCCGCCCGAGAGGATGGACATACAAGGGCAAGGAAGAGGAAACACAACCCGCGGGTGAAAGAACCCCCGAGCTGGCCTCCCCATCAAGGACAGATGCGCCAGAATTTGGCACATCACCATGCGTCCCTCCTCCCTCCGACGGCGGAAGCTCGACGACGACATCCTCCTCCACAGCATGGGCGAACGCCGAGCTGCTCGCCGAAGAGAAGTCCATCCCTCTGGCCTGCTCGCGCGAGCCCCCCCTGGAAGCCGCCTCCTCGAGGCGGAGACCGATCGCCACGCGGCGAAGGGAATCGACGGGATCGTCGTCATCGTCATCAGGCGGGGGCAGGGGATCGAACGCGGACAGCGGCACGGACGCACCAGGCAGCTCGGCGGGGAGGCCGACCCTAAGCAATGGCTTGCGCGGGTGGACCCCCCCTCAGGAGGAGAAAGGAGGGAGGAGGGAGGAGGAGGAGGAGGAGGAGGAGGAGGAGGAGGAGGAGGAGGAGGAGGAGGAACGAGAGGAGAAAGAGGAAGAGCAGGACGTTAGGGCATGTACCCAGACCGCTTTCGCCAGTGCGCAGCGTACAGCGAAGGGTTAAAAGCGAAACGAATTCAACTGATTAAAATCTGCGTTTAAACAGTCGATCCTCTCAGTGAGGCCGTCCTTTGCGGATCCGACTGAATATGCAGGTTAAATTAGCCATGCAAACAACTGCTCAATGTTTATCCCAGCTGATCCTCTCAGTGAGGCCGGACTTTGCGCCTCCAGCTGGTTTAAGCACAAAAGTTGAGCAGATGTTTAGCTGCACGCTGCCAAGCTGCTGGGAGGATGTGGAGAGGAGAGAAAAGAGGTTACCTCGCATGCGACATCATCTACCGATAAGCGCCTGGCCCGAGAGCGCGAACATCTTGTCTACCTGTTTAGCGGCGATCGCGGGCGCGTGAGCGCACTTCCAAGGCATTCGCAGATCATAACTGTCACTGTAACGGCGCGGGCTGGAAAGCTGCAGTCCTACGAAAAAGCACTCGGACAGAGGAGACACAATGGCCAACCCAGAGGCAAAACGCGCATAGAGTATGTGAGCCACTGGCAGAGTAGCAGCTCATGGCAGCAGCCTCGCAGTGCACCGTGCACCGCTAAGGTTGCACTTAGAAGAAAGGACGGGGCTGAGAGAAGGCATGGAACAGGAGGAACCCAGAAGCCTCCATGTAGGCTCGACTGCCCGAGGCGCGAGCCTGGCACTGCAGTCGCTCCCGATGGAGCACAGGCCCAAGAAGACACGAATGCAAAGCTAGGTAACTATGGCTGCGGTGGCAGCCTGGTGCTCGATAGAAAAGCAGCTAAACTCATAGTGCTCCGGAAGCCTCGGAAAAATGGGACGCTGCACAAAGCGAAATCACTTGTCACTGCAGGCGCAACAAAGATCCGAGCACAGAGAAAGCTTCTCAAACGCAGAGGCGAAAACTAAATGACCATGCTGCGAAGGAGTGGTGTTGCAGCATTTGCAGCCACCGTGAGGAGGAAGGAGGATGTTAGAACTTGGAGGGGGACAGGAGAGAGGAGGAAGGAGCATACGAAGCAGCAGGAGGCAGCAGTGGGGGGCCAGAAGAGGAGAAGAGGCCGGCCGACGCTGGGGAGCAGCTGGCGCTCCAGGCCAGATCGCGTGTGCCGCCGAACCCCCCTCTGTCATGAGTGTGGGTGGCAAGAACTTGCCAATCCTGGAGCACCCGCGCCCAGTGCAAGTGAAACAAATGTTGCGCGGACGAGCTCCGTATCGCATCGAATCCTACCTCTGGGCCTGTCTAAGCAACGCACTGCTGCTTAGCACTTAGGCGCTCTAAGTGGGCGCAGCCCTTCATGGAGGAGCACGAAGAGAAGAAGATGAGACGAGGGGGAGATAAGGGAAAACGCGGGGAGAGATGTAATAGTAATTGCAGCAGTTGGCGCCTTGATCAAATAGTTTGCGCACTGGATTTTAAACTTGCGCGTGGGTGAAAGTGCATATGACTGTCGCGCGTGCAATAAGATGTTGCCCGCTCGCAACTCTCGCGTGCTATTGCATGAAGCGGGCTGAGGCTGAGCTCGGGTGGGCGCCCTCCGGCTCTCCTCCCCTCCCACCACCCCACCCGCCCTCCACCCCTCCCGCCACTCCCTGGTGCCCCCATGGGCAGGCGCCCCTGGCTCAGACATCTAAGCCGTCGGGATCCCGGCTGCCCCAGGCCGCCCGCAGCACCGCCTCTCCGTCCCAGCCGATGATGTTGTGGTACAGCCACAGATTCTGCAGGCCGGGCAGGGAGGGCAGCGCCCCCTCCAGGGCCCGCGCGCCCTCGGCGCCGATGCCGTTGCCGCCCAGGCGCAGCTCCTGCAGGCCGGGCAGGGAGGGCAGCGCCCCCGCCAGGGCCTGCGCGCCCTCGTCGCCGATGCTGTTGCCGTACAGGCCCAGCTCCTGCAGGCCGGGCAGGGAGGGCAGCGCCCCCGCCAGGGCCCGCGCGCCCTCGGCGCCGATGCTGTTGCCCTCCAGGCGCAGCTCCTGCAGGCCGGGCAGGGAGGGCAGCGCCCCCGCCAGGGCCCGCGCGCCCTCGGCGCCGATGCTGTTGCCGTCCAGGCCCAGCTCCTGCAGGCCGGGCAGGGAGGGCAGCGCCCCCGCCAGGGCCCGCGCGCCCTCGGCGCCGATCTGGCATCCTCTCAGGTCCAGCCTCTGCAGGCGGGCGCACAGCCGCAGGCAGCTTGCGAGCCACGCGGCCTGCTCGGGGGTCGGGGGTGGCATCCCGGTGAAGTCCAGCGTCGTCACGCCGCCCAACTGCGCGCGGCTCGTCCGGCGGAAGAGCGCCTTCACCGCCTCCCGGTCCGCGCCGTTGGTGAAGTACCTGTCTTCGATGAGCCGGTCGAACACGTCCGGGCTCACCGGCCACCACCTCCCGGCCGCCCTTGCCCGCGCCCCCTGCCCCAGGTCGGCCACGGCGGACCACTCTGCCTACGAGCGGTAGACCTGCTTGATCTGCTCCGCGGAGCAGCGCTCGTACGTCGTCCAGCCGGACTGGTCGTAGCCCCACTCGCGCGCGCTGCCCCGCTCGCGGGGGTGCTGGGTGAGCAGGAGCACGGTGGTGGCCTGGTGGGCGTACCAGAGGTCCATTGTCTCCTCCAGCCCGTGCTTGAAGGCGGCTTTCTCGGCGGGAGTCCGCTTGGCCTTGTCCGCGGCCTCCTGCGCGTACTTCTTGGTCTCGCCCTGCCGCAGGGCGGCGGCCCTCGCCTCCTCGGCCTTGATCGGGTCGCCCTGCAGCAGCGAGGGCCAGTCCCAGAATATTCCCATCTCGCTGAACCCCTTGAAGTCACCGTCGGCTCTGGAGTATTTGCGGCGCTCTGTCTCCAGCGTGTCAATCACCAAACTCAGCTGCAATCCTTTGGGGTCGGGATGCTCGGGCGCGTCCCAGCAGAACGAGATGGTGACGATCGGCGCCACCTGGTCGTGTCCTCCTCGCCCGCCGGCCTCCCAGACGGCCCGCAACTCGTCCGCGGACACGAACGCCTCCTCCGGCAGCTCCTGGCGCCTATTCAGGACCGTGCCGCGCTGCTGCAGCAGCCACGACATGCGGACCAAGCGCACTGGGTGGAGGCCCTCTACGGTGAACGCGAGCGCGTCGAAGAGGCTCGCGGCGTCCGTATACCGCGCCAGGTCGAACGACTCCTGCTCCTCCTTCTTGGGGACCTCCTGCTGGTGCTGCTGGTCGACGGGCGCCGCCAGAGATTCGGGCAAGGCGTCGCTCGCCTGCGGGTCCTCGGGCACGGGCACCTCCGCGACGTCTGGCATGTGCGGGGGCGGCCCGCGGGCCTGCTGGTCCTCGGGCGCGACGGCCTGGCGGGAGGCCATGCAGCAGCCCATCGTGTCGGCGCGGGGGGCTGGTTTACAGAGGCAAGAGGGGCGCTCGCGCCTGCTTCAAGACCTGCGTCCAGTCGTGGAAGCTTAAGCCAAAATAAATGGCTCGAGCCAAAATAATTGGCTTGAGGGTCTCTTGGGAGTGTCTTAGGCTCTCTTGGGCAAATCTTGGGAGCCTCTTGGGCCGTCTTCAAAGCCGCGAAGGCCGAAAAAACATCCGAAACAAATGTGCGTTTTTCAATAACAATTCAACGATTGTGACTTCTTGGGGCCGTCCTGGGAATGCTCCGGGTTGCCTCGTGGGACGCCTCGGAGCCTTCTTGGACCGTCTTGGGGCCATCTTGGGCCGTCTTGGGCGACTCGAGGCCTTCTTGGGCCGTCTTGGGCGCCGTCTTGGGGCCTACTTGGCCGTCTTAGGCGGCCCTTGGGCCGTCTTGGCGCCCTCTTGGGCTGGCTCGGGGGCCTCTTGGGAACGTCTTGGGTTATCTTGGGGGAAATCTTGGGAGCCTCTTGGACTGTCTTGAAAGCCGCGACAGCTGAAAAGTCGCACATGCTAAAAATGCACGCTCCCCCATAAGAATTAAATGATTTGGGCCTCTCGGGTCCCTCTTGGGAGTGCTCTGGGAGTCGTCCTGGGCAGTATTGGGCAGCTCGGGATCTTCTTGCGCCTTCTTGGGGGCCTCTTGGAACCCTCTTGGCTCGTTTTGGCACCCTCTTGGCCTCTCCGGGCCGCATCTGGGGTGTCAGCGGGCTGCCGCCGATGGTTGCGGGGTCGGCCGGCCCAGGCCAGGGGGGGCCTGTTTGTTTACATGATGTGTATATATATATATGTATTATATATATATATATATATATATATATATATATATATATATATATATATATATAAACTAGAACCACGCGCGCGCTTCGCGCGCGCTTAGGTTCTAGCCGTGGCCAAGGAACTCGACGACGACGACGACGACGAAGGACGCCGACGACGACGACGACGACGACGACGACGACGACGACGACGACGACGACGACGAAGGGCGTCGACAAGGCAACCGCGACGGTGAAGCGCCCGCCAAGGCTTCGCAAATCCGAGAGGGCTGTAGGGTGGCGTGCTGTTCGCGTGCGAGCGACAGAAATCATACAACGTGGCATCATTGGGCCTTCTTGGCGGCCCACTTGGGGCTTGTTGGGACTCGTTTGGGGCCCTCGAAGGCAGTCCTGCTCCTGGGCGGTCTTTGGAGGCTGGGGCCGTTTTGGGGTTCTTTGAAACCGTCTTGGGGGGCTTTTGTGGCTCTGGGCCTTCTTGGGAGCCACATGGGCTCTTCTGAGGTTGTTGTTCTTGGGCCGTCATCGGGCTGTCGTGGTGTCCTGGGGACCGATTCGGGGCCGGTATCGGGGAGCCCTTGGGGGGGCCTCTTGGAGCCTTTGGGGGCTTCTTGGTGCATCCTTGGAGCCTCGTGGGGTAGAATACCGGAATGTTCGGCTCGTCGTCTCCCTCTTTGGCATCTCTCGGGGCCGTTTGGGGGCTCTCTTGGGCTCTTTTGCTGCTTTTTTCCTCCTCCTCGTTTTCCTCCTCCTCCTCCTTCTCGTCCTCCTCCTCCTCCTCCTCCTGCAATTCCTTCTTCTTTTTCTTCTTCATCTGCTCACCCTCATCCTCCCGCCGCTTCTGCTCTAGCTCTCTCTCCAACTGCTCCTCCTCCTTCTCCTCCTGCTCCCCCTCCTTCTCCTCCTGCTCCTCCTGCTTCTGCTCTAGCTCTCTCTCTCCTCCTGCTATCTCCTCCTGCTTCTCCTCCTGCTCCTCCTGCTTCTCCTCCTAGTTCCCTCCTTCTCCTCCTGCTCCTTTTCCTCCTCCTCCTCCTCCTCCTCTTCCTCCTCCTCCTCCTCCTTCTCCTCCTCCTCCTCCTCCCCTTCCTCCTCCTCCTCCTCCTCCTCCTCCTGCTCCTGCTCCTGCTCCTGCTCCTGCCCTCTCTCCTCCTCCTCCTCCTCCTCCTCCTCCTCCTCCTCCTCCTCCTCCTCCTCCTTTCGTTGGAAACATCCTGTCGCCCCCAGCGCGGGGAGGCAGCGTGGACCTGCTCAGTGAAGGAAGTATCCATCCTGGAAAGATATCGGAAGCTCAGAAGCCACGTGAACCAACCTGGGACACTCTCAAACGCTTCTCAGGCCGTCCCAAAACGCTGGGCAGGTTAAAACAAGATCGTCTCGGGGCTCTCTCGGCTCGAAAACGAGCCCGAAGATGGGGCCGAGTGCCCCCAGAGATCTCCGGGGTCTAGTGTCTCTTCCTTTTCCTCCTTTGATCCCTCCTCCCTCTCCTTCTGCGCGTCCTCCTCGTCCCCCGCATATTGCGGCTCGCAACTCGAACGGGTCGTGCCGAATAGGGGCTTCAACCGACGGCCCCCGGCAATGTTCGCATTCGATTTACCTGGAGTCGACACCCCTGACACGGGTTTGGCTTGGCCCACAAGAAGATCCACCTAGCTCCAGAGATCAGGTAGGCATAGCAGCTTGGATGCCTTTCTCGCCGGCGCATAAGAACCAACTTGACACTCTGGGGGGTGGTCCAGGCCCCAGAGGCCCAGAGCCCGCCGCCGCGAACGCGCCAGACGCCGAACGCACATAGTTTGAAACGCCCTGCGGCACTGAGCAACGCTTTCGATCTGCCCCCGTATTGGGAGCGCGCTGGCGGAGCACAACAGGCGCAGGAAAAAAACATGACAACGCCTGGGCATTCGAGGCAAACGGATCATGACGGCTTGGAGGAGTCGCCAGGGGCGGGCTGGCCCACAACAGGCTGGCCGACAACGGGCTGGCCGATGGCGACCTGGGGCAGCCGCGCGCTGGCCGACTGGATCTCGGGCAAGCAGCTTTGGCAGCGCAAGCGCGCCATGACGCACAATTTGACGGTGGCGCAGACGATCGCGGCGATGCTCAGAGCCGGGTGAACCAGCCTCACCAGGCGAAAGACTCTAGGATCACCACCTGTATCCACAACTAACGTGACGGCGTTCATGACTACACCTAGTCCAACCATTACGTAGAGCGGCGTGTCCAGGTGCAGGAAGCAATTGCACGGACAACATTGGCCCACTTTCTCGAGTCCCTCGCAGCAACACGGCGCGCTGATCCGGGACGCAGACATGACGATGGCGGTCACGAGGATGATATAGCCAGCCGCGCTCCCCAGGATGAGATAGGTCGCGGCCTCTCCATCACCCATCCCTTCATCATCCTGTTCGGCATCCCCCGCGATGAACAGCAAGACGTTGATGACGAAGCACAGCACAATGAGGCCCAAGTATACCCCCTGCGCCAGTACGGATGTGGCAAGGCAGACGCAGCACGCCGGGGCGGGATGGCCCATGGCGGCAGGCGCCCGCACAGGCAGCGGCCCTTTGCTCGCCCACCTCCGTGAGCCTTGAGCCAAACTGGCTACGGGAACCAATTATGAGCTTCTTGGGGAGCCTCTTGGGAGGTGCGTCTCGGAATGTTTTGGGGAGCCTCTTGGGGCCTCTGGGGAGCCTATCGGCGCCTCCTGGGGGCTCTTGGAAACGCGCGCTTAGGTTCTAGCCTCCTCCCCCCCTTCATTCTCGTCCTCGTCGTCGTCCCTGCTCGGTCTCCTCATGCTCCTGCTCCTGCTCCTGCTCCTGCTCCTGCTCCTGCTCCTGCTCCTGCTCCTCCTCCTCCTCCTCCTCCTCCTCCTCCGCGTGCTCTTCGTCGTCCTCCTCCTCCTCCTCATCCTCCTCCTCCTCCTTCTCCGTCTTCTCCTCCTCCTTCTCCTCCTCCTCGTCCTCCTCCTCCCCTCGCTGGAAACATCCTGTCACCCCCAGCTCGGAGACGCAGCGTGGACCTGCTCAGTGAAGGAAGTATCCATCTTGGAAAGATATCGGAAGTTCGGAAGCCAT